TATTCTTTGTATCCTGTATTACTTGACAGCCCAGTGCTGTCTTGCTGCAGTGTCTCTAAGATGCAGTGATTTACCACAGTAGTCTGAGATTAATACTTGCTGCTTTGAAGTTAATGAAACTGTGCCTGTTTATAGTAGAAAAGAAACTCTTTAATGCTTTTAGAGATACTAGTGTGTAATTGAGAAATAAATTTCTCAGAATCGAAAGACTTTAATTTAGTATGCATCTAAATGAATATTCCTTTTTTTGTAAAGTATCTGATTTCTCTGAAGATTGCTATAGTATGATTAAAGTAGATTTCCTATTCTGTGGCTCAAATGACACTCCCATGATGGTTATTTCAGAATATTTGCTTGAGTTCTGACTGCCTTACAAACTACATCCAAGACAGCCAGGATACCAAGACGGCAGTTGTCCTAAATTGTCACCATTGTGAATCCATGTCACAGGGATTATTTACACCTTCTGGGTGCCAGTTTTAGTCACGTATGAGGCTTTAAATGGTGCAGTTAATACTTAGAGGTGGGTGTTTGGATGGGGTGGCTTGCGTATCAGAAAAATATTAGAGCCCATGATTCTAAGTACCAACTTGTCTCAAGCTGGTGGTTGTTTTTTTTTTTTTTAATAAACTGAGTTACGCTTTTGAAACTTGGATGTGTCAGTTACATCAGTAATTAGAAGAAATAGCTTACGCAAGAGGTAGCCTGTTGTTAATGCAACATGACACTTAGTCCTCTGCAAGCTGACCAAATAAACAGGAATACTCTTAAAATTGGCACTAATTGTTCTGTACCACAGAATCCTGTTACACTGCTTGCAGTCGGTGACTCCTGATCTGCTTGTGATTACATGTTTTATTTGTTAAGCTGCACGACTGCAGATAAAGGCAGAGCTCTGTTTCGAGGCTGACAGACCGGCACCCCGACAGGTGCACGGTGAAAACCAGCTATGCCTTCAAAGGTCAGGTTACGTGCGAACTCAAGACTCTTGTTGCCTGTCCATAACGTCCAGACTTGAGGCAGTGTCTTTGAAAGAAGTCCTTTGCTATGTCAGAACACCAGCTTCGGTTAACTCTTGCCGAGGGATGTTTACGTTGCACTTCCTTGCGTGGGGTAAATGTTCCTTGTGGTGGTTGGTATTTCAAAGGGTGCCATGAATCAGCTGAAGGAACAGACGGTGTGATATAGGTAATTAGTAAGCAGGCGTGTTTGAAGCCCACAATTGGTGGGGCTCCATTTCTTTCATTTTGTATTTTCATCCATGGCAAAAGACAAGATGATGCTGAAGGAGGGGAACTGCTTGGAAATTTGTTTTTGGCACTAGCCTTCTCCATGCAGTAGGTGCTGATCTGTTTTCAGAATGGGATACAGGTGTAGGGAACAAAAAAAAAACAAAAACAAAAACAAAACACAACTGGAAGGCATATAGGAGCACATAACTGTCAGTTTATCATTGTTCTAAAGCTGATTATCAGGAATTACTAAATTAATTTAAACATCTTCTTCCTCTTAACCACAAAGGCCAGGAAAATCTTAAAGGAAAAATACTTTATCATGGGGGACAGGACAAGCAGAACTGGCAGGGGAGCACCAGCAACTGTTATATCTTACTTTCCCTAAAATAATTCCTATACTTAGGAAAAGTGAGGTGAATGGCTTTTCTGGTGGCTAAATATTTTAGCTAAATAACAGTTCATTTCCACAAATGTGTACCTGGGAAGTATTTAAAAAACATTTTTATTTTTTTGAAATATTTCTCAATAGCTCACCTAACATCTTAATTGGAGAGAGCAGTACAGAAGTCAATATTTAGTGCTCAATTCTGTAGAAGGCATCTATGGGTATCTGCAAGGTAGATTTATTTTCCAAGTAAACAGCCACTGCTTAGACATATGTCCAGCAAGAGGGTAAAGGGTTTTCATTTTAGTTTTCACTGAGCACTGAGCTGTGAAAGTGAAATTTTGCAGAGTTTGTTCCTTTGTTTTCTTTTTACCTAGGTTCATCCAACCCCCCCGCCCCATTTCCAGGCTTTGTCGTATTTCTTTTCAGACTCTCAATGCCCTGGTTTTCTGGCAAGGAAAACCTTGTCAAGATCTCTTCTGAAGAGGAGCAAAGGAGGAAGACTTTGGTACTTCTAAAAAGATTACTGCTAACTATTATTATTATTATTAATAATATTAATATGCTGAATAAGGGAAAGGTTTAAAATAAATTAATCAGTTGTTATTTTTCTGTCTAGAAATCATTTAGCAAGTATTGATTTCAGAGTAATAGATTTAATCAGATCAGCTTACTACACTAATGATTCAGCTTTATTGTTTGTGAAATAGGTAGGAGATAATGTTATGAAATATATAGTTCCTCTTGAAATTCATGTTTATTAATTCTTTTTCTTTTTTTTTTTTTTAAGTGATTGTGGTTCTGGTGGGTTTTTTTCTCTTGTTTTGCAAGAAACTAATTTGTACCTAACAGGGTAGCTGTTTATTTTGAGCTTGAAAGAACCTAGGCCTCCATGTAGTAAGGCACTTGTGCTTAAATTGCACAGCATTCAGGCTAGCACTCCTCATTGAGGTTGCAGCCAGTTCATACGCATAAAACTGGCAACATGTTTATGCTGTTGTCATCAAAACAGTATCTTAAGGACATTTTGTCTATAGTGACAGTAATGTTAAAGCTCTAAACAAGTGAAGTGTTAAGGTAATACAATGGCTAACTGGGCAAGACTACAAGGCTTAAATCTCAGAAGATCTTTTTTTTTTTCCTTAATTGCTTTGTGTGAAAGAGCAGATGTTTTAGGCATTTTGAGTACAGTTGTTCTTGATATAGATAAACAAGGTAGAACATTTTTTCTGTCTTTGTATTAGAAGAACAGGTATAGTGCAATACTTGTATTTTAAACTGCCTGCTGACTAGCCACATTGCGCCACAGTACCATGTTATTGCACTGCAGCCGCTGTGTACAATCATCTAACATGATTAGGAAAAGTTATAAAAGGAAGAATTAGTTTCAAGTGAGTATATAAGATTATCCTATGGATCTTTGTCTTTCTTCCCAATTTAATGTTACCTTATTCCTGAGCCTTTACTGCATTTACCCACTATGTTTCATGAATTTAAGAAATTATTTATAAGTTGCAGGGACCATTCTTTCAGCTGTTGTAATTTGATTTAAACAAGCATATGTTTGAATCTTGAAGGATTTTTGACATTGAAATAATAGTAGTCTAAGAGAAAGAATTTCCATAGTGTGGGGGGTCTTTTTATGTGAACCCAATAACTTTCTAAGCTTTTAATTTTAAATATAATATTTCAAAACTTATACAGTAAATACCATAAATCACACATAGAAAGGAGTTTTTTTCCATGTAGAGGAGAGAAGGAGCATTGTAAACTTGTGACAAGAGATGACATAGTAATGCTGTTTGTCTCTGATTTACTATATCCGTGTTGAGCTTGCTTGGAAAACTGGTCTGGGAGTCTTGTATTTGTTTTCTACTGTAAAGTCTAAGCTGATGAGAGATGCCTGGGAAGGGGAGGATGGAATGGAAAAACTTCTTGTAATCAGAATCTGACCTAATAAAAAGTTCTTAACACCTTTTTCCCTGCTAGACTCTTTTATCTTTCTGTAAATGAGGTGGGAAGACTCTGAGTGTAAACATCTCGTACTGGCCCCTGGGCTCTTGCAACTAGCCAACCTCCAAGGCAGTGGTCACACAGCCTCCTTGACTGGGCTTCCCCTCTGCGTCCGTGATGGGCCAGTTCAGTGGAGGGCAGCATCCCACCCGGTGCTAAGCCACACAGTAGCATATGATGGCATTGAACGGCTTAAAACTAAAAAGGTACAGAAATTAAAAAGACTGTGTATATAAAGTGAGAGGGAAAAGCAATGAGAAGTCAACTCTCTTAAGGATGGGTGGGAGTGATAGGCTCTGTCCTGGTGATTCCTTCTAGTTCCTTGGAGCACAGTTTACGCTTTGATGGAGTCCTGTTTATGTTGCCTTTGAACAACGTTAGAAGAGATGTGCTGTTCTGAAATGCTCAATTTCCCTTGCAGCTTAACTTAAAGTTACCAGGCTATTCTGTAGATGTTCCCAGTAGCTGGGAAGGGAAGGGGTTTCTCCAACAGTTTGTTTTCTTCTGTTACAATAAAATAAACGCTTTTACAAACTGTTTTTTTAATATAGTTAAATGTGTTCTAATTGAGAAGGCGAACATAGGGCCCAAGGGGGAAGTAGGCCTATTTTTTGAAGTGGTGCATAGACCCTGGGGACATGTTCAACACAAAATGGATATGAAATTATTTTAAAAGTCAGGCTGAGGAAATTGAGGTTATCACAGAGAATCTCTGGCATCTGCAAGTAGAAAAGCAGTGCTATCAGCAATGGCCTTGTCCACCTCAGTGCAGTAAAAACCTACCAGTCTAATTTAAACCTTCTGTAGTTGTTGACTGTTGCAGCCATGAAGTGAGCTGTCATATTCAGTGTGATGCAAAAGCAACAAACTGAAATGGTATTGATTCTGTGTACTGTTTAAAGTGTGTTATTTTCTTTTTCCATTTTAACTGAGGGGAAAAAAAAAAGTATTTCCCATGCCTTTCAAATACTTCTGCAGGTTATGACATTGGCTGCCATTTTTATTGCCTTGAGTATTGAGACCAAAATAGAGAGTCTGGTGCTTTTCTATCTTTTGTTGTCGTTCTGAAATAACACAGCATTATGGTGCCTGTCAGTCAAGGTGTAGAAAGAGCTGTACAGATGAGTACATGGCAAATACATTTTTACTGATGCTGTTGTACAGCTTGCTAGCAGGAGGAAAGAACCCAGCACCTAGGTGTTTGCCCTCTGTTTCCCACAGGTCAGAAAATATGTGGGGAATGTCCACAGGAGCTCCAGTGAACATGTAGAATATTCCAAGTCAGCAGGCAATTGATTTCACTATACTTAGTGCTTAGCCATGATATATTAGTTGTAATTGGCAACTGATACGTGGCAGAAGACACGATGAGTGAGGGTAGGTTGTATGATTCAAAATATGTTTTCCTAATGCCTAATAGGTTATGCAATATGGACAACTACTGCACCTGTGGTGTTTCCAATATTAGATTCTGAGGAAACTAGCACTTTTTGGGGGGGGGAGGGTGGAAGTGAGGGGGTAATAAGTTTATTTCTTAGCCATATGGTTTTAGGCAACTTACAGTAAGTGGATTGATTTTCCAAAAGTGTTTTGTGGGTGAGAAGGGAGCTCTCACTGTGTGCAGGACTCGTGCTGCATAGGTTTAGGCAAATGGCTTTGGGGTTTTCTGCAGCTCCTGCAGAAATGGTCTTTTGCCATTCTTTGAGAAGGTTTAGGGTCCTGAACATATAGATTCAGAATAGTAAAGCAAGTGAGGTTAAACTAAAGTAGATACAGTGTAAATACCTTTCTCTTCCAATTAAGTTACGATTTATTAGTTGTGATATGAAGTTGGATTTTATTCATAGATCTTCTTGTGGTTGAAGTACAGGATTAGCAGGCACTGGGTTTACACTCTCCTGTTGCAGGATTTCTGTGGGGAGCCAGGAGGGTTTCAGGCTTTCCTCATGGCACAACATCACCTGATACAATGAATGCAGACGAGCACCCTAAGACTTAGTTCACACGTTATTATGAAGCCTGTTGAGTGGCTCTCTTGACAGCATCTCTAAATATAAACAAATTCTTTCATGAAGGTAGAGCCAATGAAACCTGGTTTTCCTTCTACTGATTTATTTTGTTCACATCTATCCCAGTGTTTTCCTCATCCTTTCCCACTGCCACTTGAGAGCTTCCGCCTCTTCTCTGTCCCAACCCTTTCTGTGATTGTTTGAAGCTGCTCCACTGCTATGGGTGAAAACATCCATCACTCTAAATTAAGACCTGAATAGGAAAAAAGAAAAAGAAAAGGATGACGTATTTTCATCCTGTTCTGTACAAACTTCTTCCATGCTACATATTCTGAATGTAAAATATATTCTGAGGATGAACACACAAATATTTTTGTTTGAAGATTTTATTATATCAATGTGGAATGTTATCAGGCGGGACTCATTCCAATGCTATTTTCTGTGCAGTTTTCTGAATAACAATCTCTCTGTTTAGACCTCACATATGAAACGAGGCAAGCATTTATCCTCATTCTTCAGGCAAGATGTCAAATATTTTAAAAAAATTCCCATGTGTGTCTCTCTCTAGATATATGATAAAAAAACCCTTGCACCGACTGCGTTAGGATGGTGGCCTGCTCCTACCAATGGCAATACTGTTTGCTACACAACCATTGCATACAAAAAGGCTTACACAGCTCAAAGAGGCTTATGCAGCTATGCTATATCAATGTGCTTAGGTTTGAGTTCAAAACAAGTCCGTATCTGTTTTGCTTTAATACATAGGGTAATAGGCCCTCTGCTTCACCTACATCACTGTCTCACATTCTCCAACTGGCCACATCAGTAAAGAGCCTGTCTCCATTGTCTCAAAGACCTCCCCATAGATGTTAGGTCCCCCAAAGCCATCTCCAGGCTGAGTAAACAATCCATTTTGGGCCCCCAGTAAAAAAAAGAAAAAAAAAAACAAAACAGCTGGGACAGACCTAGAGACAATAAAGATCATCGAGTTCCAACCCCCTGCTGTGGCCAGGGACACCTCTGACTTGAGCAGGTTGCTCAAGGCCACATCCAGCCTGGTCTTGAACATTTCCAGAGATGGGGCATCCACAGCTTCCCTGGGCAACCTGTTCTAGTGCCTCACTGTCCTCACAGTAAAGAATTTCTTCATAACATACACTGTAAATCTACCCTCTTTCAGTTTAAAACCATTACTTCCCATCCTATCACTACACTCCCTCATGAAGAGTCCCTCCCCATCTCTCCTGTAGGTCCCCTTTAGGTACTGGAAGGCTGCTATAAGGTCTCCTCGGAGCCTTCTCTTCTCCAGGCTGAACAACCCCAACTCTCTCCTTATAGGAGAGGTGCTCCCGCCCCCTGATCATCTTCATAGTCCTCCTGTGAACGTGTTGGAGGAGGTCCTTGTCTTTCTTATGTTGGGGATCCCAGAGCTAGCTGCAGAACTCCAGGTGGGGTTTCACCAGAACAGAGTAAAGGGGGTAGAATCACCTCCGTCAACCTGCTGGCCACACTTCTTTTGATGCAGCCCAGCGTGTGGTTGGCTTTCTGGGCAGTAAGCACACATTGTTGGCTCATATTCAAATTTTCATCCACCAATACGCCAAGTCCTTCTCCTCAGGGCTGCTCTCCATCCCCTCTATCCATGTTTGGGATTGCCCTGTACAGATGCAGATCAGTATGAATGAAGTGAGACACAGGTAAAAAGACAATTTCATGTGTGTGCTGAGAAGCAGCGTGAACTAGAAATGGGTTGATTCACGCCTGTATCACTGTATATTGAGAATACTTTGCTTTTACAACTAGCTTGAGTGTTTTTGTGGTACTGGTTGTTGTAAATAACTGACTCAGTATATATATGTTTTTAAAAGTTCGTGTGGAAGATGGCATGGATGGGTGGAAGAAAAGCTTGCATGTTAGCAAAAGTGAACAGACGTGCTTCAGCCAGGACTTCTGGAACATCAGAAGTGCATGTTGCTCACCACTTTGAAATGTATGAAATGCATTGGCAAGCTGTAGTAAGACCAGATAGATAGGGAACTCCAGAATTCCAACACATGGTGTACAAAAGGAGTACACCAGAGGAGCTGGCTCTGTTCAGCTAAGGAAATATAAGGCTGAGTGTGCCCTCCGTTAAAGAGACAATGTTGACAGATAGTTGCAAGCCCAGTTGTCTGCTTTCAGTTTATTCAGAAGCCTGAATTATGGAAGAGGCTACAAATACCACTGAATGTGCAGATGTAAAAGTGGTCCAGCTGAGGCAAGACCATCCCCTTTCTGGACAACATTTTTTGCCCAATTAATTGTTGCTTGACATGTGGAACATCTTTCTGTTCTGTTCACTTCTTATCACAGCAGATGCTGTAAAGTGTAAGGCTTAAAAAAAAAATGCACTGGATGCCTGTATAGTGTCTGTTTATGTGTGCCTTCTCTGATTCTTCAAATGTTGCTAGCAGAATAATGTAGTGCAGCAGTGTATGATTAGCTTTCTACTGAGCATTTAATAATAATTTATTCATTACGTCTCTTGCTTTTCAAGATGTGTATTTTCTTCGCCTTCATTCTGGCTTTCCTTCTTTTTTTTCTCTTCCACACTTTCTAGTATATAGCAGTGTATTGCTTTTCTGTGTTACTGCTTATTTGTGAACTTTTGCTTTTGGTTCTCTTTCAGTTTCTGTTTTGCCTTAAACCTTTTACTTATTCTAGTTTTGGTGGGTTTTTTGTTTTGTTTTTTCATATGTCTTCAGAAGGGTAAAATGTGCATGGGAGAAGTATAATAAACACTTGTCAGCAAATTGGACTAAAATGCATAAAAGAATGGCTAAGTCCTGGAGCTTCACTGCTTGAGTGATGAAGATACACCTAACGCAACCCCCTGCTAATTTAAAAGCTTTACCTATTGTAGCCCAACTCCATAGTTGCCGTTTGCTTCAAGTCCCCTTTCAGACTCTTTCAGATTTCTGAAAGTAATAATGTGCATCTTGCTTGATGTACTCACACAGTTGCCTCCTGACAGCTGTGAGGCTGATAGTGAGACAGCGTGTACTGATGCGCTGCGCCACTTAAGCCTTTGATATTGGATCCTCCTCCCCAAGGAGCACAGCAGGCTTGTCCTCCGCTGCTCCTGTTTCTAGCTCTGAAGTGCTTTTCATTGTCTGAAAAATTGCATTATTTTTTCTCATGTGGTAGGTTTCTTGGTAATTGCCAGACATGGTGAGTAAACTAAAAATAGTTTACTTCTTCTTGTTTAGTGAACGTAATTGATCCCTGACTCTTCACCCTGCTATTTCATTTGCCACAGCAACATCTCTGGAGGTTATGAGGACATCAGCACATAGGACTATTGAAGCAAAAGAAGCATAATAGATGTTAATTTAAGACCTTGTTAGGAACCAGGTAAAAATGAGTCAGCTCTTTTTCTTTCTTCTGAGGACAAGGCACCTTCAAGAAACTATGGATGACAAGTAGGATAGAAACTGTAGGTCACTGGAAAATTGCTTAAGAAATAATGTGTTGGGGAAAGCGTATTTTCACCAAGTTGTGTACTTCAGATACATACCTACGTATATTGGTAATCAAAAGAGACATGTAGTTCTTTATCTGGTTTTATTTTTGACTGCTAAAAGTTTTCTAAAGTATTTTTTTCCCTTCAGCTGATGGAGTCTGTGTGTTTAAATGCTTGGTTAACAGAGACACTGAATACTGTCACGTGGGAAAACAGTCTGTGTTAATTACGCTGGGATACAACAGTGTCTTGCTCCAGTTCAAGTCACAAGCTGGTAAGTGCATCTTGCATTTCTGACTGTTCTCTCCTTCCTGCCATGCTACTGTATTGGTAAAGTTCATTTCAATATATGCTGTCTTCTACCTCTCATATTGGCTATTTAAATGTTACATTTTGTTATGATGACTTTTACAACTTCATTTGCCTCTAGCCCACTCCAGCTGCCTTTTGTGCAGTATGGACCATTCATATAGTGGATATAACTTGTTTGCAGAACAACTGCAGGTAAATTTTCTGAAGAAAGCAAATGCAGATAACACATCATATGACTTGACTTCATAAACTCTAAAAACTGGCAAATCCGATGCTTGGTGTGGGCAATCTGCCACTTATTGCTCCCCATTCAGAAATTGTCTGGCAGACCTGTTTGTCTGGATAGTTAATTGAGGTAGCTTAACATAAACCTGCAGTTTTTAGGATAGATATTTTGTGAGTACTAGTGCTGAAAAAGAAACCCACTCTGTTGTAGAAACATGACTGTGTTTTAGTAGAATGTTGAGATCTGTATTTTTATACTTCCACCTGGCTTGTGTTTTTTGTGAATCCAACTGCTGAGACTTTTTTGTATGTGCTATCCTCATGTCCTCATACTGGCTTTTGGAAAACCATTCTTAGTTCTTATGCAAGGAAATTCAGAAGGCTGCCTCTTTATTCTGAGCAGTATGCAGCATGGCCACAACTCATTTTGAAATTGTGTTACTATAGGTACCAAACAGCTGCCTCTTTAGCAATATCCAGGACTTCATATATAGCAGCCTACATCAGTAGACCTGATGACTTCCAGGAGGTTATTATAGTTATTTCCATTTTACATTGTGGAAACTGAGGGACAAAACAACTAGATTGGATTTTTGGCAGCTTATTAAACACACATATGTGTTTCAAAGCATCAAGGGCTGAGAATTTGGATGTAGATGGGTTGGTTTGTGCAATGAATTGCTACTCCTGTGTCATGTAGACACAATACGTGAGCTCCTGAGTCCCACTCTACTAGAAAATAAATTTTTTAGACTAACCTGATTTTTTCAGTTGGATCTTGGTGCCCTATAAAGTAAGGATAGTTATTCTCATTTTCAACTTTTTACCGTACTAAAAAAAATGAATGTAAGCTAAGAATCACAGTGAGCATCTGTTGGTTTTTTATCTATGTATCTGAGTGTTGCAATTCAGTTATGTATTTCCATTAAGTGATTTATCTTGAGACTGCAATACAGTATTGTCCCTTACAGAGACCCATCTCATAACTGAGCAATAATTAAGATTAGGTTGTTTAGCAATTTATTAGCTCGCTGCTGAGATAACAACTAATAATTAAGGAATCAGGGAAGTTTTTCAGTACTTTTTGGTCTGCAATCTCTACCATGTCTCACCTACCTATGAAGGTTCTGATTCCAAAAACCAATAGTTTGGGATCCCAAGGCAAAAGAGCTTTCTCATAGTGCTCTTCCCTGCCTTTACAAACAAATATTTGAAAAAAATCCAGCTAATTTCTGTACAGTTTGGTATTTTTTCTGAGAGGAGTGCCTTGAAGATTAAATGGTGAATTCAGTCCTCTTTTTGGCTATATTCCTTGGTGACTTGTGTTTAGTTTATTTGTATAGCTACATATTTTGAAATAGATAAGAACCCTGTAGATAAGCCTCTGAATTTATTACTTACGATTTATTAACTTGACAAAATTGAGTGTTTTCTACATTTTTTCTATCCTTAAATGTCAGGAGAACATAAACTGAAATGGCCTATTAGTTCATGCAACAACTCATTGATAAAATGACAGGAATATAATATATTGGTTAAAGTCAAGTCTGTTCAGATTAAATGACTAACCTGTTGCTATAAAATGGAATGTGTTGGGTGCTGCATTAAGTTGCAAGTTACTTACAGGATATTATTTCCCTATGCCGTAGGAATAGCTTGCTGGTGACTTCTTCTACACGTTGAGTATATTGAATAGCAACTAGTCTTGAGAAAGTTATAAGCTTTTAGAAAGAAGTCAAAGCTGTAGAGCAGAAGCTAACCTTTTGCTGTTTGCTGTGTACAAGCGTAGGTGTTAGTGTTATGTATTTGCAAACGTGTATGTGTGTATAATTAATAAAAATAGTACTGTTATTAAAAATTGACTGAAAACTCGTTTTTCATCTATTAGAAGTGTTAGTTATGAAAATATATTTTTTCTCTCATAAAAAGACTCTGACTCTCATAAAAAGACTATGACTTTTCACTCATAAAAGACTTCATTTTTTTAAGTCCTCTGTCTTGCTGGAAGGTAGGACAAGATGTGGAGTGAGGTGTAAGGGGAGAGGCAAAATCATGCCCTGCTTGTGCCCACGCAGAGAATTGCTGTTCTGGATCCAGCATAGACAGCCATAAATCATAGACTGTATCTTTCATTTCCTGCTGAACATATGTTAAACATCTGAGTAGGATCAAGCAGGCAATAAAAATAAAAGTTAGTAGCCTACAGGCTTTTCTTTCAAAAACAAAGATCATTTATCTGTAACAGACCAACCAACCAGTCTGTAACTCATCTGTGGCAGACTTGGTATGCAGCTCTACTCCTTGGTGGAAATGGCCTGCTTAATTTACCACAGAATTAGTTCATGAGCATAGGATGAATTGTTCTTTCGGGGCTGTGAAAGAATGCAGGTTTCTTTCTTCTCTTTGAAAACTCATAACCCTGGTCTCCATCCACTTTCACAGTGCATCCAGGCATTGAACATGCCAATAGTTGCTGTCTGTAGATGTTGTTTTACTAGCACAACTTACCTTGAAAGTTGTCTGCTAGCTCTAATAGCTGTGCCACTTACATAGAAGCAGGTGGAAGAAACCGTGTTATTTACAGTTTTCAGTTATTTGTAGCATATAGTACTTGTGGATCTCCACATACAGAACTGCGCTAGAGACATAAGCGTGTGTGTCTGTAGAGAGAGAGAGGTATATATGTGAGATATATTAAAGACATTAAATTTTATATGTGTAAATGTACATGCTGTTCACGGAATCACAGAATTATGGAATTGTCAGAGTTGGAAGGGACCTCTAGAGATCATCTGGTCCAACTGCCCTGCTAAAGCAGGATTGCCCAGAGCACATCACTCAGGACTGCATCCAGGAGGGACTTGAAGATCTCCAGGGAAGGGGGGTCCACAACCTCCCTGGGAACCCAGTGTACTGACTGTTACTCCAGTATATTCAAGTAAAGGAACACAGTATGTCTTATGGTGATTTTTTTTTTTCTCAAAATTATTATTTTACGTAATGGCATATGGATCTAATTAGCAAGTCACACAGTCCAGAAGGAGCAAGTTTGTAGAACAGAACAATTGGTGCTGGGGCCCTGGTATGCAAACTACACTCATTTGGGAAGGAGGCAAGAATGGAGGGTGTGTTTACTTTGAACTAGATCTAGTCTGGTCAGAGAGACTAAAGGACCATTGGCTGTCGAAGTTTATTCCTGGAGTGCATGTTTTGGTTTAATTTCATCCAGAAGGATTCCAGTTAGTGCGTACTGAGACCACTTAGACATGCAAACCAAAGCGCTGCAAGTCGGGACAATTAATCAATATGCCTCAAGACCCACAGGTTGCAAGGAAGCTGTTCAGCAGTTTAAATCTAAGAATTTGTGTCAAATAATAAATTCAATGAAGTAAAGGACCAAATGACTCTGTGGTTGCTTGCTAGTTTCTGTTCAAAGTAGTGATAGTTTTTTTCAGAAAAGCAAAAAAAAAGATGACTTTGGTTACCTGAATATTGTTTTATTTGACTTAATTTAGAAAGAAATTAAATTCACAAATGTATTTAATCTTGCAGCTTGAAACTCTTGCAGTTTTACTGCATAAGCAATGAGGTGCAAATTGTTGAGAGGAGAACTTATTAAATACATGGACTGTAATTGCACCTGTGCAATTCACAATGATCATTTGCTAGTCTTAGAAGAACAGGAGGAAGTTCTACTATTTGAATCACTTTAAAAAAAAGAGGTTTTGACTTTTAAGGCATACTACATGAACAATTGTAATCCCAACTTCTCACCTCTTGGGGCAGAAACTTTGGTTTTGTGTCATACTACAGTTTACTCCACTGTCACGAAGTGGCTCAAAGCTTTGCAGGTGCTTTCCCTGAGTTAATTAATTAATGTGGCAGTCCCAAACACCCCATGGGCTTTGGGAGTACACAGCAATCAGTTTGACCTATTTGGCTTCAATGGAATGAAGTGTGTATAAGAAGATAACAATTTTCCAGGTTGTATTTGGAGCTGGGGACTGTGATGTGCAAGAACAAATACACGTGATGTGATTTTGGAGACTGCTGGCCTATTTGCAGATCTTAACAGAGAAGGCTGCCACTGACCATGCCTTCTGCTGTGTCTGTATCCACTAGTGTCAGGGTTCAAACTTCTGGGTTTGCCAGTGTCTTACCCCGTGGTTCTCTACGCCATTGCTCTTCTTGAGGCAGTTAGAGGCAGCCTTTCATGAGTTTCATGGCGTTTTGAGCTGACTCAGTGAGTGTGTGCAAGGTGGTAGGATCTAAAGGGAAGCTCAAGACCTAATCACTCACAGCACTGTTTTCCGTACCTTTTGTTTCTCCAGGCTTTCCTTGAACATTTCTGTGGGAATGATTTTAGCATTAGCATTTTAAAATTTGATTAAGTCTAGTTCCTGGAAGGGCAAAATAGAGGGGATTGGAAACAGGTCAATAACTTCTTCCCAGTTTTTCAGCAATTCATAACATTCTGGTACTTTCCAGAATGGATTCCAATACCATTTCTGGTATTAGAATTATTCTAGACTGTTTTCTTACTAGTTAATATTAGTGTTTGGCTTTCCAGATATGATTTGATTATCTTTTTTTTTCCCTTTTCTTCTATAGGCAAGTAATTTAGTGTAATTTCTCAACAATTTTAGGAAAAAAAAAAAAAAAGTTTGAAGGATTTTAAATTTCTAGCTTTTTAAATTCTGTCTGCTAGATCTGAGTACTGCTAGATCTGCCTGCCTG